GATGATACTGTTCTTCCTTAGGCAGGCGGCTAGGAACTCTGAGCAGCATCCTGGCGTAACCGGACAGCCAGGCCTGGGGGACAGGAGCGTCAGCTGCGCACTCAGTCCTGAGTACGCTGCTCTCCAGACACACACGGGGCCCCTCACCAGGGACTGCCAAACAGCAAGCCTGCTCTTGGTGACTGCCTGTTGGGGACATGTTCCTCTGGTGTCCTAAGAGCCTGAGCCTGTACCTCATCCTTTGTGCCCACAGCCCCGGAATGTGGGTTCTGACCTCAATATGGCCGAGGCCAACCAGCCACCCAGTTGAGGCTGTTCCCAGAAAGGAGCTGATCATTGTCAAAAACCTAAAACCTGAATTGAAAAGTGGTGCCCAGAACAGCATGGAGGTTGGAGAGAGTTGCAGAGTCCCTTCGTTGAACCCAGTGGGGAGGAAAAGAAGAAAGAGGTGCTCAGGGGACCTCATATGCCCCTTAATATAACATTGCCACATTCCCTCTTCCCCGCCTGGTCATGATCCCTCTGTCTCCGGGTGTGTCCAGTGATGCTCTGTGAGTTGATTATGTGGTGTTCCATGGCTGGCGGCTGTCCTGTACATCTGGGTTGGTGTTGGCACATTTTCCTTGTCATCTCGGGCCACCATAACGGAACACCACAGAGTGGGTGGCGTCCACAACGGACATTTATTTCTGACAGTTCTGGAGGCCAGACGTCCAAGGTCAAGGTGCCAACAGACTCATTTTCTGGGGGGAGCCTGCTCCCTGGCTTGCCTTCCTGCCACACCCTCACACCGGGGGAGAGAAAGAGAGAGCTCTCTGGTGTCCCTCCTTGCAGGGACACTAATCCTCTCAGAGCAGGGACTTAGCCTCATGACTTCATTTAACTTTCATCACCTCTGAAAGGCCCTGTCTCTAAACACAGTCACCTTGGAAGCTAAGGGTTCAACATGTGAATGTAGGGGGGGGGACACATTCAGTTCCCAGCATGTGTCCTGAAGGTGTGCTGTCGAGGAGAAGAGAACCCACAACCCCAGAACAGACGATCGTATGTGTGTTGCCTCCTGTCGGTCCAGGTGGGATTGTGCCCTTCGTGTACTGACGTGACAGAGACAAGTGAGGCGTCGGTAGCATGAGCCTGATCCAAACATCGCTGAGGGAGCTCCCCCCCGCCCCCCGCCACCCTAGAGGGCTGAGCTCCTTCCCAGACTTACAGGGGACGTGGGCATTTTCCGAGAGATTGTTTTATTAATTTACGTGGTTACAAGTGATTTGCTAATATTTACAAGGTGATCGATGGAAAAGTTGGGGAGAGTGAGGTCATATGACCCAAAGAGAAAAAGGCTCCCAGTTTAGAAATTTACTGGGGGTTGGGAGCATTAGCTAGGGGAATTTCCAGAGGCCCAGGGTCCTGTCTATTAGTGTTTCAGAGTTGATTTGCCTTGATGAGACTTTCTTTTTTTAATGTTTTTTTTTTTAAACTTATATTTTGAGAGAGAGTGGGAGCAGGGGAGGGGCAGAGGGAGAAGAGGACAGAGGATCCAGAGCAGGCTCCGTGCTGTCAGCCTGTCAGCAGCAAGACAGCAGCGAGCCCGATGCGGGGCTCGAACTCGTGAACCTCGAGATCTTGACCTAAGCCAAGGTCGGACACTCAACCGACTGAACCACCCAGGGGCCCCAAGACTTCCTTTATGGTATGTGAAAGGCTCGTGCGCCCTGTTGCGATGGACTGAATTGTGTCCTCCCGAAATGCACGTGTTAAATCCTAACCCCCAAGATGATGGTATTAGGAGGTGGGACCTTGGGGAGGGGATTCGATTTTGATGAGGTCACAAGGGTGGGGGGACTTCCGTGATGGGATTAGTGCCCTTCTGAGAAGAGTCCAGAGAACGTTGTCCCTCCCTCTCCTCCATCTGAGGACCATGTAAGAAGGCAGGTGTCCGCAATAGATCCCAACCATGCTAGCTGATCTCAGATCTCCCACCTCCACGACTGTGAGGAAAAAATGTTTGCTAGATAAGCCACCTAGTCTGTGGTTGTTTGTGACAGCAGCCTGAGCTGATTGAGACGCACCTACCTAGTACACCCCCTTCTCGGCAGCAAATTCCCCTGAAGACGAATTGCACTGAAGGAAATGAGCCTTGGTTCAGGGTCCAGGGTCCACGTGAGGTTGACCTGGGGTTACCTTCTACCTCTACTGCTCACCAGCCCTGTGAATTGGGGCAGGTCCCTCGACCTCTCTGACCTCTGTTTTCTCATCCTCAAATGAGGATAACACACAGAACACACACTTCTCACAGAGTTGTTGCAGAGATTGAGTGAGATCGTGTCCACTAAGCACTTACGCTAATGTTGTCACTGAATAAATGCGTGCCTGCTAACGTAAAGCTCGCATGCCATGGACCTAATGCCTCTTTCCCGGGACTTGTGTGGGATGGTTCTGCCCATTCCTGGCATTTCAGATGTCTCTTTTCTATGCTTTAAGGCTAGACTAGTGATTTCTAATTCTATTTTATTTTACTGTATTTTATTTTATTTTTATTTTATTTTATTTTATTTTACTTCATATTACTGTGTTTTATTTTATTTTTTTAAATGTTTATTTTTAAGAGAGAGAGAGAGAGCATGAGAAGGGTAGGGGCAGAGAGAGAGGAAGACAGAGGTTCTAAAGCAGGCTCTACGCTGTTAGCCCCAAGCCCGATGCGGGGCTCAAACCCACAACCTGTGACATCATGACCTGAGTGCCCCCTATTTTGTTTTTAATGGTGCAACTTTTTTTTTTCCATATCGAGTCTTACGTGGAACCCCAAATATCCAAAACTGATGGGGAGGTGTGCTGGTTGAAGCTGGCGTGGGCTGGAGACCGCCATGTGGCCTCCCCCTCTGCTTCCTAATGGGACCCAGGGCCCTCCAAGGAACACCATTTGAGAATCATTTCTATAGGTTGCCCTTCTTTTCTCTTCCCAGGGTCCTCCTCCAGCCCCGTACAGTCGTTTAGATTTTTGTGCTTCCCAAGTAGTATTCTCATCCTGGTCTCGCTTTTCTGAGGCCACCTGGGCAGGTGTTGTGGGTGTCCTCAGGCTCTTCAGACACACCTTTCTAGCCCTTTGGCCATTCAGGCAGGTGGTGATCACGCCAGGTGTGTGAGGACTTTGCTACTTAATTCACGGAAGCCCACTTAAATGCCTACGTCTTTGGACGCACCTCCGTTGCCCAATGTATGGCCCAACCTGTGTCAATGAATCTGATTTTCATCCTTCAACAAGGCAATGCGTATAAATACATCCACAAATCAGAAAAAAAAAAAAAAGGCTTTGTACTATTCTGTGTCCTTATTTTTGGTTTGGAAAATGGGTCACAGTAGGTATGGGAGCAGGATCCAGAAAAGACAGCATGGGACCTGGGTCTCTTCAGTCCACACCAGCCACAGAGATTCAAGGGCCACGAGTCAGTGAAATCTATTTGGCGTGATTCCCCGTGATGCTTTTCTGAGCCTTCAAACCTCTGAAAGATAAACTTCATATTTCTCCTTTTTTTTTTCTGTAACAGCTTTATTAAAATATAATTCAGATACCACACGATTCACCCACTAAAAGTATACGATTCAGTGGTTTTTAGTATAGTCACAGCATCATGCATCTATCACCATAGTCAATTTTAGAACATTTTCATCACCCCGAAAAGAAACGTTGTGTGTGCATTAGCAATTACTCCCCCATGCCATCCAGCTTTTCCACCACGGCCGCTAGGCAACCACTAATCTATCTACCTTCCACCTCTGTGGATTTACCTATTCTGGAAATTCCATATAAACGAATCATCCAATGTGCAGTATTTTGCGTCTGGCTTCTTTCACTTAGCATCATGCTTGCGAGGGTCATGCATGTTGTGGCATGTGTGAGAACCTCCTTCCTTTTTATTGTCACGTACTGTTCCATTGCGTGGATATACTGCATTTAGCTTATTCGCTCGTCAGTTGATGGGCATTTGGAGTTTTCCACTTTGGGGTTATTATGAATAGTGCTGCTCTGAGCATTCACATACAAGCTTTGTAGAGATGCTCGATTTTGTAACTTCCTCTGCCAAGAGAATGAACGATATCCCGAGCTCGATTTGTTGAGTGTTTATACCATGTGCCAGGTACTATGTTGAGCACTTTGCATACACTGTTCACGTAATCTTCACAGAAGCCCAAGGACTGGGCGCCCTCCCCATTTTCCAAGTGAGGAAACTGAGGTCTCGTAGCTAATTCAGGATGGAGCTGGGATTCGAACCTAGGCCTCTGTGCTACCTGAATAGTGCTTCCGGAAGTTGGGCAGCTATCGGTACCACCTCCCTCCAACCATTCCTATTAAATCACGCCGATGAAATCCGTGTGATGTGTCACCCACGTACGTTATCTTACTGAAGTCACACACCAACCCCCAGAGGTTCTCTTACTACTCGTAACACTCAGTGAGGAAAGGAAGTTCAGAGAAACTGCCTCGCTCACCGGCTGCCATGGTTCGTCAGTGTCTGAGCCGGGAGCACCCGGGTTCGGCAGGACCCTGACCCTGCTCCTTCGTGCCACAGCTCTCCCTCTCATGCCTGGCTTCCCTTAACCCTCTCATCTCAGGGCGAGTTTCGCAGAGGCCCAGAATGCCATTTTCACAGGACAGCCACTGTCTCCCTTTGCACACGCTGGCCGGTGTGCACATGTACGTCCAAGCGTATCGCCACGCCTGGGTCTCAGGACCTCGTACACATTGGCCCCCGGGGCCCTGCTATGACATGATGGGGTTCCTGAGGTAGAGATGCACATTAGAATTCATGGCTGCACCTGGCTACGAACCACGACCCTTAGCATGTAGAGAGCTGGCTTTGGGAATAGTTCCGAGGACGGCAGGGTGGAGGGGGACGCGGGGAGCTGCCTGGAAGAGGAAGGTGGCAGTGGGGGGAGACTGGAGAAAGAGGAGGGTGACGGGAGAGGGTACCAACTGTCTCCGTGTGGTTGCCTGCCCACAGCTGCTATCTTGGATGACCCCATGGAGTGCAGCAGAGGGGAGCGGCTCTCCATCACCCTGGCCAAGAACCGCATCAACCGCGCTCCTGAGAGGCTGGGCAAGGCCAAGGTCGAAGTGGACATCTTTGAGCTTCTCAGAGACAGCGAGTACGAGACTGCAGAAACCAGTACGTAGAATGGGCAGGGCCTCCCTCTGCTTTCCTTGCTGGCAGAGGAGGGGCTGATAGTGTGAGCTGTACCCAACACCAGGCCTGCGATCAGCCGTTCCCAAGAGAGGGAGAGAAACACGCACCAGGAGGCCCCACAGGGCTTAGTCTGGATGAGGTCCCCAGGTTTCATTGCCAGTTATGTGTGGAGTAGAATTAAGACAGGATACTCATTAATGCATTCACCCACCCGTTCATTCCTTCATCTGTTGATTCATCCAACTCCTGGACGTATCGTACGCAAACCGCTGAATGAAACCTTGTGTGTGATTAAGAGAGGTATGGCCAGCCCAGGGCCAGCTTAATCCGGGCACATCTGATCACCCGTCTTGCAATTTTGTGGTGCGGACAGCACTGTGGCACTTGGCATGGAGTTTGGCTGTTGTGTGGGTGACCTTGGACAAGTTACTTTTCCCGTTTAACTCAGTTTCTTCATCTGCAAAATGTGAGTGCTAGCCTCTACTTTGCAAATCTTGCAGGTTGGTGTGAGATTTAAATCACTTAAAATAACACACAACCCTCTGTAACAGGTCACTCGAGTCACATGCGTGGAGCCCCTACTATGCGCTAGGCACTGATTTTGACGCTACTACCCCGAGAGCTAGGTGTTATTGGCCCCACTTTATAAGAGAAACAGAGGCTCAACGTTGAGTATCTTAACGTTGAATATCTTGCCCATCCACAGAGCTAGCTGAGGGCTGAGCGGGTCCGGAAGCCTGCATTCACGTGGTCACCCTGCAAGGCCGGTGCCCGGTCTGCTATGCCCTCCCTGGAATTCTCTGGTGTGTTGCTGGTATCCCCTTGATGACTTTACAGGATGAGCTTCCCACTCGGTGCGCTGGTGCTCGTAGCTGAGCTGGAAATGAACAACCCCAGTGCAGAGGGAAGGAGAGGAGCCTCTCAGCCCAGAGAGGTGATAACGTCTCTTCCCCAAGACTTTGCCCCGTCTCCTCCCTTTGTAACACACATCAGCCTTTGGTTACACTCACTGGCAAAACCAGACTAAAATAAAAGAGCCACCTGCTCAGGTGTACATGTGACACACCTGGTCTTCTGTGTGTGGACCCAGCACTGCTCTGATCTGGACCATTCGTATTGCAAGAGAAGAGACACATCACACTGGCCCACGTGTGGTAGGTAGGATGTTGTGTGGCTCCGGAGAGGGCAGGAAGGGAGGAAGCCTAGGATCTTTGTCTCATAGCTCCTTTATGGCTCTTGTGATATCGAATCTTTGCTGTTCCCTCTCTGGCTTATTGCTTTCCCTGGCTCATTCATCATGCACCTGTTCCATAATGGCCATGCAGGCCCAATGTCTATTTATTCAGGAAAACTTTTAGTGAGCATTTACTCTATTTCAGGCATGATTCGGAATATCATGCATTGGGAACGATGCAGAAAACAAGGTAGACGCGGTCCCTGCCATCAGGGGGTTTACAGTCTCCGCTCAGCGTGCACATCAGTGGCAACTTCCCTCGGCCCCTCTTGGTTTGAATTTGCAAGGTAGAGGATCTGATGGGTCCAGCTCATCTTGCCATGGCAGATGTCACAAGTGACAGGTGTTGGCCAGATGGCCTGATAACGACCCTTGGGGAGAGTGAACACTCTTAGGGACCATACAGAACAGGACTGTTGAGTCCAGCAGGATCTATTGACACAGATTCCTACGGACAGGGGAATGAGGGAACAGGTACCGGAAATAGTCCTTCGCTCATTCATTAGTTCAGTCAATAAATATTTAGTGAGTGCCTCTTGGACTCTCTTCTCGGCAATGGGGATCCGGCAAGGAGCAGGTGGAAATCCTAGCTGTCAAAGAGATGAAATTCTGGTACAATGAAAGGAAGATTCCAATGTCTCTACACCTGCTGAATGAAATCAGAAATACCAGCAACGTCTTGTGAGATCTCCTAGTCCAGTCTGTCGTGGATCTTTGTCTAGGAGGATGGGTCCCCGACAAGGATCTAGGTTCCTAAATAGCTTTGCAGTGCGTACTTTGAAAAGCCAGCTCCTCCCTCCTTCCCTTGGGTTTCTTGGGGCAGAACAGAGAGCACAGATTGCCCATTGTGGTTGGGGGTCATTAGCAGATGTAAATTTCCTCTCCCGGTGACCCATGCAGCCTGTCTTAGTAAAGTCAATACATCTAAAATATTTAGCCAGATGAATCAGGGGAATGAAGGAAACGGATACTTTTATTCCACGTTACAGAGCTTTGGGGCGTCTTTTTCATGCCCTTCTTTTAGGCGCCAAGTATTTTATTAGCTAGTAACCCATGGTTCAGCTTTTACATCTCACTGTGTTTGAGGCATGATTAGCATTTGTTAGAAACAGGGTTTCTGGATCTTTCTACCCCAAAGGCCTTTCATCTGAAGCCAGAGCTGCTTCCCCACAATGGATTTTAAACACCACCCAGATAGTTCATAGGAATGTTCCAGCCCAGCTGTTTCCCTCCCGAAGTAAGGGAGAGAACAGGCGGTGGGTTAGCGCTCTCGGCTGATTCCAGGCAGGGACTGGACTTCAGTGGCCGTGTTGGGGGAAGGAGATAGGAGGGACATGGGGTCCCCGGATCAAGGAGGGACGATAGATCTGCAATGCCTACTTTGGGGAGTCTGTGTTATAAAGAGTGAAACGTGGATATTAGAATCAGACCGGTCAGTTTTAAATCCTGGCTCTACTGTTTATTAGCTATGTGTGCATAGGATGTACTATAGTTTCCTTGTTTTTTGTGTTGTTTTTTTAAGTTTATTTTGAGAGAGAACATGAGCAGGGGAGGGACAGAGAGAGGGAGGAGAATCCCCAGCAGGCACCACAATGATGTGGGGCTCAAACTCATAAACCAGGAAATCATCACCTGAGTAGAAATCAAGAGTCAGATGCTTAACTGCCTGAACCACCCAGTCACCTCTACAGTTTCCTCATTTGTAAAATGAGGGTGATGGTAATATCACCTCCTAGGGTCGCTCAGGGCACAGCAGAGACGGTGGAGGTGAGATGCTTAGTACTGTGCGTGTTACTGGCACTCGGTAAACGGCCCCTGTGGACTTTGTTGTTGGCTTTCTTTCCTCATCTCCTTTGAGCAGGCTTCCTTCCTGTCTTATCATCCTCTCCCTCTCTCCTGTGTTCAGAGTCCAGCCACCTGGAGGTGACAGCACCGTCTGCCTCCCAGCTCTTCTCGAGTGGCCTGTCTTAATATCAGCACGCCTCACGGGACGTCCGCCGTAACTGGACATTCCCTTTCCCTTTCCAGTTTTCCGGACTTGATGCACCTGACAGCGTGGAGCCTTTGGAAGTTGTGATGGGCCACCCAAAGCCAGCGGCTGCTCAGTGTCATGGGCTGTGTTTTCCCTAGGCTGGTGGCCCAGGGCTAATTTGCATGATTAACTGAAAACTATCTGAGTCAGTCTGGGGCCCTGAGCAATGCCCCCAGACTCACACCTGTCACCCACAGCCAGGAGCTCTGTTCCAAGGGGACGAAGGAGACGCCAGTGGTTCTTGGTGGTGGAAAGCGGAGGCCAGCTCTAAGTTTGCGGTAGCAATCCAGCAATGTACCATGGTGTCCACTTTCAGTAGCAGTAGGTGGGTTTCAGGAAGTTCTGGATAGATCACACTTTAATGAATTATGTTCGGGGCGGGACTATCCGTCGAGGAGAACAATGACTCTTGCAAGAATCTAAGATCCCAAAGTGTCAAGAAACCGAAGATGCTGACGTCCAGGGTTCCACTTCCTCATCTGATGGCTGAAAACCAAGCTGGGAGATGGGAAGGACCAGACGGGGCATTAATTAACAACAACCCCGGACACTGGAAAGTTACAAGTGCAAAATCACCTCCTCTTGTCTCTGGTTCGCTTAGATTTTCAGATAGTGGGTTTATTTAAAGTAAGGGTCGCCCGTAAGGCTTCCTCAAGCCCACGTGGGGTTCCCTTCACCCTACCCTGTCACCGTCATTGCCTCGGGCTTCTTGATGTTTGGCTTCCCGACTCCCTCCGTGCAGCCCGCAGATCTGAAATGAGAGGGATGGACGAGACCTGCTAGGTCATCTCTTTCCCGCCTGGCCCTTTCTCTCCCTGCTTCTGTATCTTATCTGCACCTCAGCCTTTCTCGTGCAGGGAGGTTCCCACAGGCCTTGCCCGGCTCTGTTCCACAGATCAGCGTGTCTCCCGCGGCTGCCGTATCCGAGCTTAACTGAGCGCCCGCCCCCTTATCACCCAGACGCCCGGAGGCACTGTCCCTGCTGCTGCCAGAGCCAGTTTGAAGTTTAATTTACTGCAGAGCCAGAAGCAGGGGCCTCCCTGTCAACCCCTCGCCTCTGCCTTGGCTTGTCTCTGTGAGGCCAAGCGTGCTATCAGCTGTCCACACTGTTTCCCCTGGAGACCCAGAGGCGCACTGGTTATCCGGCCCCACGCGGCCCCTGTGCCTGTGGAGAGGAGCACGGCGTGGGGTGCTCGGGCCGCAGGGTTTTGCTCTTCCTCCATGAGCTCCCGAGCTCCTCACAGGCTCCAGCGGCATGACCTCGGGTGATGCAAAGCTGCCTCCAGTAAGTGAGGGCAAGCGTTTCTCCCATCAGTTCAGTAGACCAAATCCAAGTCCGCGTCAGGGGAGAAAGTGAGAAGCCAAGAGAAAGTCCTATGAACGGCGATGAGTCACTCAACAAACATCCCTCGCTGCTCCCTCTCTGAGCTCCCCACATCCCATGTAGGTAACGTGGACTCAGAAACACATTGAAATCATCTGGTCCAACCTCCTCATGGTTGGGGGGCAGGTGGGGAGACGGAGGCTCACAGTCTTTCCCAGGAGGCAGTTAAAACCCAAAAATGTCTGACACGTGACATAAAGTTCAGTAGCTGTGCCGCGTGGCTCAGACGTGGGCAGAGGGCGGGTGGAAATACGTAACGTTAGCTGCAGCTGGTGGTCAGATCGTGCCTCTGGGCTGGACTTTGGAATGTTTGGTGGGCAAAGAGAAGAGAA